GGTAGGTAGTCGAGTGAGCTCATAAGCGTGTAAAGGTTAAGCACGAGATCCCCTCGACACTGTACTGTGTGTTTATGCTTACCACTGATTAATGCAATACAAATAGCCTTTTGCTAATTCGTGTGCCATCTTGTTGCCTTTTTGTGTGTATACTGTATGTTTGTGCTTACCACTGATTATTGCAATACAAATAGCCTTTTGCTAATTCGTGTGCCATCTTGTTGCCTTTTTGTGTGTGTTTACTTTGTTTCGTAAGTTTATTCGCCCATTTCGATTGCCACACGGGACCCCACGGTTACCCCCGTGACACTATGCTCATGCTCTGGTATGTAAACAATGATTGGCTGCTGGCACAACTTTGATAACACCAATAATTCAGACAATCTCCTCCCCAGAAATTAGATTTTTCAATGCATTGGCAATATCGTTTCAGAGATTCATCTACAGTAATTGCAACCAATGCCTCTTCATACCGACTCTGTTCTTTATCATCATAACATATGACCTCTTTCATAGCCATCCACAATTCATCTACATCATCTCTCTGTTCCCGAGGAGTAAGAATAATGCCTTTCTGATAGTCATTCCTTTCACCAGTGTTCAAAACAAACAGCAGTCATCCCCAGTAACTTTCTGAATAGAGAAATGCTCCACCTTCTTCAATGCTGGTGAAGTTCCACCCAGAGACGATCATATTCTAGCAAAGAACTGGTGACCACCACCATTGAGAAACGACGACGGATATCTAGGACATGTCATACTAGAAATCGGAGTAACCGGCGAAAAGGCGAGCTCAAATTCAGCAACTCCCTGTTTCAGCTGCTGCAGAGAACCTCGTTCGAAGGCTTGCCTGCCATAATGGTGAGGAACACTTGGGGAATTGAAGAAAGCAATTGTTGATGTTGTTAGGGAGAGGGAGCAGATTGAACAGGCCAGGATTGATGGAGACCGTGAGATTGTTTCATTGAAGAAATCTGTAGAGGCCCTCGCTATAGAATTTGGAACTCACGTAAATCCGT